GTGTGTGTGTGTGTGTGTGTGTGTGTGTGTGTGTGTGTGTGTGTGTGTGTGTGTGTGTGTTGTGAAGAGGCGTACCTTCGGGTGAGAGAAGTAGTCGATGTAGTTTTCGCGAGACCCCAGGGTGTGCTTGAGGTTGTGGATCACCGTCTCGCACTTGGTGTGGAAGTACTTGAGCACCATCGTCGCCTGCGCAGGAGAGCCGACATTTGAGCGTGTATGCGTGTGCGGTGGTGCGCGTATGCGTGTGCGGACCTTGAAGGCTTTGGCGATGCGCTCCTTCTCGTTGCGGTAGTACTCGAAGTCCACCTGGGCCTTCACGTTCGGCTCGGCCATGATGCGGTGGTAGTACTCATTTGCCGCACTGTAGTCCGTGATCTGCACACACACACACACACACACGTCCCCGCACTCATGTGAGCTCAGCAATTCATGTGTGAGACCTCAAATGATGTGGGCCGTGCCTTGCCGTGCAGCAGGATCTGGTGGGCAAACAGGAGGTAGCGGATGGCGTGCACGATGTCCTTCTTGCGTCGGTAGATCTCGGCCGGACTCTCCCAGTGCCACTGTGCTATGCTGGCCATAGGCGGGAGGGAGTTGATTGATGGGGAGGGGAGCTCACAGAGGGGAGAGAGCTGGCTCCAGGCGGTGATACCTGAAGCGCTGCCGGGAGGCGAACATGACGGTACGCCGGAGCACGTCCTCGTCCACCTCGAATGCCACCACCAGGTCCTCCTTCAGCTTCTTCTCGACCCCCGACAGACCACAACAACGACCACGACCACGACCACACCACCACCACGACCATCGACCAAGCACGAGTGCGGCCACGAAGGGCGTGCATCAGAGGAGTGGCGGCGCCGGCACTTCGTGGGGCGGCGGCGCGGGGGAGGTGGCGTACAAACTGTGGCGGGAGGAAGTAACACTGGAGTGCTTCGTGTCGGTGCTCCAGCAGCTACAGGCCACCACCCAATGCATTGGTGAAACGCACGCACACGACACCACCGCACACGCACGACACACGACACGACACGCTGTGATAGGGAGGGATGGTTACGATGCGTCTCCAGTAGTGTGCGCTGACGAGGGACACGTTGACGTCGTCATCGTCGTAGCCCGGGAAGTTCATGTCGTGCGTTCTGCCACACCACACGTTGTCGGTAGCTGAGCTGCGGAGTGGGTGCTGATGACAATGATGACGTACGCCTTGTTCCAAGTGGTGGGCTCGTCTTCGTGCGTGGTCACCACCAGGAAGTCGTAGTCCGAGTTCTCGTTTGCCAGTCCGTACACACGCGAGCCCCTTTTGCACCCTCTCCAATGAGGCGGCACGGCGGACGAAGTTGTTGGGGGGGGGGCGTACCACAAGTAGACGTTGAGTATGCGGCGCTCAATGTCTGCATCCTTGTTCTTCAGCTTGGCCACCAGATTTGCCAACGTTGGCGTGAATGCTGTACTAGCAAGGGGGTATTTTGTGAGCATTTACAAATAAAAACAATTGATTTTCTATATGATTTCCATATAAAATGGGGTTTATTGGCGACACAGCTTTTGCGGGGTGACTACAACATAGCTACCGAAAAAAGAAATAAAAATGAATTTATTTATGCCACGACTTCAGTGTACTTTCGTCAAAGAACATAATCTCCGTGAAAGGACCTTGCAAGGAGTTTGCATAAATAAAAAAGAAATGCCTTTTCTCAAATTACCTCAAGTCTTACACCAAACGCTCCACCCTTAACAGCATAGTAAATTCAGAGCCATTTAATGAAACCACCTTTGACTGTTCACCAGGAACAGGGCTGGTAGTTCTAATGTGATGAATTGTGTCTATAAATGCTAATAAGATTTCATTGTGTACACATACACAATGGGATGGTGCATACCAATTCAGTCAGTTTTGCCTTGTTCTTCTCCACCTCTGCCACTCTTGTGAAGTAATTCTGAAGCAGAAGATTCAATTAAATCACACTACTTTCATTAAACAAACTGTGCTATTGATGTACCATGCACATGTTTTGAAGTTCACCAAGGCTCTTCTTCTTGAGGTCACTCTCCTTCTGCTTCTTCCACTCCAGTTGCTTGACCATCCACTTGGCAAGCTCAGCTGCATTGTGGCAGGTTCTTACCATGGATGGAATGCTGCTTGCAGACTGGGTAAGGTTGTCACTCATGTTGTTGTGTGTAGGTTGGAAAAGAATAATGACTATTGTACCATGTTCAGCCTTAAAAGGACTACACTCAACCAATGAGCTTTTTTGCAGACATTTCTTAAAAAGTGTTAGGCTCAAGGCCAGGTGACAGCCCACTCTGAAATTTCACTGTCTTCATGGGCTAGATGTCATTGGCTGCTGGTTAGATGGTAGACTGGTTTGTGTTGACACTAACTTCAATTCTTATCCTACCCTCTCATCCCACCACATCTCTCAACTGCTCACCCATGGAAGCATCAGACAGTGATACCTGGTTGGTCCCATACTTCTTTTTGATTTTTCCTGTAATTCTTGACCTTCTTTATCAAAATTTTGATGTACCAAGTGAAAATCTATTTATCATGACAATATGTAACATGTCGTTGTAAATCCTATTTTATCATCATGTATGTGTACATGATGATTTAACTACATTTACATCATTTTCATTTCTCCACTTGCATGCACAAAATCGTTGCATATGTGTACATGATAACTATCCTATCTGAAATCATCTCTTTTTTCTTACAGGCATTTCAACCCTTTTTTCAAAAACGGATATGACATCCCTGACACACACTCAGGGAGTGATTCTGAGGATCTAAGTGATCTCACCACAACACCAGTACTTGAGATTCCTTTATCCCTCATTCTGGATGTGTGTGGCAATGATACTGGTCAGCTGGCTACATCCAGCCAGCAGATCATGGATTCAGTGGACCGCTGTACACCACAGCCAGCAGCGAAAGTGCTTTCAACAGTTGAGGCATTGGACTTTAATCAGATCATCACAAGTCCCTGCTGTGCTGAGCTATCTCAGCATGACCCAGGCAGCTTCACACCAATGGCTGAGGACATTGATGGAGAACCAACCACTCCACTGTCAACTCTACCATTTACATCATCAGGTATTGTCCATACTACAGCTCATTGGAGATAGCTTCCTCACTACACCAGTAGCATGTTTGCAGGCAGGCGTTCATGCTTGCTTATGGAATCTCTGAGAACAAAATGGCCAACTTCTCCATCATGGATACTCTTCAAACTGGAAGGACCTCCATGGACACTATGGCTCAGGCCAGCACATGGATAACCATAACTACCATAAATCACCAGTGTTTTTATTGTGTATGTGTACATGATACTCATCACCTGTTTTGCTCACCTTCTCCCTTACTCCAGTATGGCTGTCATGCTCCCAACTCGACCTCAGTCTACATGCCAATGATCATGACCAAGGATCACCTCTACTGGAAATACTTGGATGCCTTGAATGCCCAGCACTTCACCCAGGCAAAGCTGTTGAGTCTCACTCACTTCTATAACATGTTCAAAGGTGAACACAGGCACATCAAGTTCCCTTGGTTCTGTGTCCTCAGGCAGTGCAATATCTGTGCCTCAACAAATGACACCCTCACCAACTGGATGATGAGCACAAGAGAGTGGGTGCAGCTGAAGCAGTGGA